TGTCCAGATCATGTGAAGCCATCCTATATTTAAAAAAAAGCCACCAACAAAATAATGTAACTCGAAAACTAATAAGAATGGGTACACCAAAGGAGGCTAAATTCCTGTTGTATTTCCATATCCACTGTCAGAATAGCTCTGCTGCCCCACGACATGGTTGTTTCAATATATTACACCTCTGGAGGTCAGAGTTGGCTCTCTGAACTTTGTTAAGTGCAGCCTGGCTGGCTGCTTCAGTTTCTCAGTCCTTGCAGCCGCTTGGAAGCGTGATGTGACTGATGTGCTCGCTGGAGTGTGTACATAAGGAGGGATCCTCTGTGGCAGTGCTACGCTGTCTGGAGTAATTTAAGGGACTTCATCAGTGCAGGTAGTCTTTCCTTCCAAATGCTTTTTCCTCTCCTTGTGAGGACACCTCTGTAATTCCTCAGCATAAGTTGTGCTGATACATGCTCTGAATTGACGAATGACATTTGTGGGCTCAGTTGGCGGCTCCAAGCCCCAAGGCAGGGAAGAGAAGCTGCTGAAAGGAGGAGGAGGGGAGAGGGGAAATCCTTAGGATGGCATTGCCAGACAACACTGGTATCTTGTTCTAGCCTCCTCCTACATAATACATTGCACTTTAAAAATTATCGAAGCATATGAAAAACTTTATTACACATCACAATCTCTAATGTGCTGATACAAAGGCATCTTCTGCTTACTCTGAGTCAACGTGCCTGAAAAACAGTAGATAATTAGCTTCACATACAAGGGTGGTGCCTTATAAATATCTGAGTTATTTGCAGTGTGCCATGTGTGTGCACAGATCTCAAGTCTTGTGAGCAGATGCAGTCCCTGCCCAAAGGTTATTAAGCAAAATAGTGGACCTGGAGGAGAAAGCTCTTGAGTTTTTGCCCCCCCTGGATTAGAGATTTAAGACCTGACTGTTGCAGCTCCTCTAGCTAGTTTTTTTTTAACCAGTCCTGTGTAGGAGAACTTATTGCTTATCTTAAATAGAATCTTCAGATGCAAATGAAGAGTAATTACTTAAATGAAGTGTGCCTGGAGCTGTTTGTAGCTTGGGTTTCAGCTGAGTTGACACCAGATTATTCCTACTCCTTAGTGAGGTGATGCATGTGTTGCTCCAGCTGTTCTGGGCGCTAACAGCTTTTCCAGGATCACTTCCTTGGATTAACTAGGTGGGACTCTAGAGTTTATGCCCTAGGTGTGGGATTGTAAGGTTTTCAAGTTTGCACTGTTCCAGAAGTTTTGGGCTGAACTGGCCAAACTGGTGAGAGCAGACTGGGACAAGGGGTCAGCTCACATGTTAGGTAAGAGATGAGATTGGCACCGGAGGAATGATGTGCAGAAGTGGGTCTGGCTTAGTGGTGGCTCTTCAGGGTGGAAGCAAGTCCACCTCTGATTTCCCGAGTCAATCCTGGAGTCAGTTTCACTTAACATGTTCTGCAGTGGCTTGGAGAAGGTATTGAGATGTCAAAGCTTGGAGGTGATGCTTGGATTTTTCAGGTGATCAGAAAGTGATGCTGAGTTGGTCTGGAAAGATCTTGCCAAGCTGGATCGGTGCCAACAAAGGTGGCATATGGTTTTCACCACAGGTAAGGTAACATGTAGGGGAAAAACAAGCTCTGCATGACATGAAACTCGGAACGGGCAGTTGCAACTACAGAATAAGAGATATTGGAGTTGCTATTTCCAGTACTCGGAAATCATTTGTTCAGCGTGCATCATCAGCCAGAAAAGCTAGCAAAGAGCCAGGTACCATCTGGGAGGGCATTAAGGGTGATAGAGAGGGTCCCTTTGGTGCTGTGTAAAGTTCTTGGGCACCCACATTTTGAGTCCCCTGTGCAATCCTGGTTTGTGAGGGATGTGAGGGAGGAGAGCTGTCCTCTGCTTGCTCTCTCCAATTGTAGCAGCTGCCTTGCAAGGAGAGACCATGGAGCCTGGGGCTCTCCGCTGGGGAGTGAAGGATACAGGGCTGCGGCTCAAGGAATCGTAGGTGACGTGACAGTAGAGCTGATACTGCCCATGTCTTGCAATACTGGAGGGAGAGGGCAGCTGATGGAACCAGCAGATAAAGGAAAGCAGGTGGGTCTGTTCACCTGTTGGATGGTGGACTTCTGCACCTTGCTCTCATAGGAGGCTGGGGGCAGGCAGTTGCAGGGAGTTTGGGCAGGGACTACACTAATTTGTGGACAGCAAGTGTGTAAATGGCCGCAGAACAGGAGTAATGAGGGATGCACCTTCTAACACCCCTAATAAGGGCAGGTGGTAGGGAAGTACAAGGGGAATGGGCATCGAAAGTGGTGAGGCTCCTGGTCTTCTGCAGAGAGCCACTTCTCTAAAGCTTCGTGCTCTTTGCTGCAAGAAAAGAAATGCAGGAAAGCTGGGTGATCCTGGGGGAGCAGAGGGAAGGGGGGTTTGGAGAAGTGCTTCCTGCGTTTGAGTTGAAGCCTGAGGTCCATGTGGTGGTAGTTCAGAGCAGTCAGCTTGTTGGATGCGGGGCTTGACAGAAAGTTTGGCTGGAGGGCCAAGGTCCCCTGCCCCACTCCCTGCCACAGCATCCTGCTGCTCCAGACCACCTGCCAGCGGGTAGGTGTGACCTTTCTGCTTGATGCCGTGCTAAATTCAGATTTTTTTTAAAATTGCATTTCCTCACACTGAAGCAGGGGAGGTGACTGGTACACGAGCATGGTTTCTCCAGCTCGAAAACCAGCTTCTGTCAAATTCTGTGAACCATTGCAAGAAGGTGGTGGCTGCTGCGTGGTCCTATGCAATTATTGCATCAGGGTTTTGTGAATTGTCTTCGTACATTAATTTCTCTGTGGAGCACTAAACTTCATTCTGGAAAACCCCAGACAAGGGTTAGGATTTGTAATTGTGTGCCAGAGTTTGCATATGTAACCTGTTGCATGTTTTTTAAATGAGTTTACTTGTATGTGCTGATTAAGTGGACAGGTCCATTACTAATGTCAAACTTGGCTGACTTCTAAAAGTTTTAGGCTTTAAGTCAGAAGGTTTGTGGAGCAGACAAATATGCAGCGAGCCATTTCAGGGCCTAAGGTTGTATGTGTTGTTGGCTGCTGCATAACTTGAAATAGTGTATATAAGCCTCAGATCAAACAAGTGTAGTCATTTTTAAAGACCCCACCGCCAATTCGTGTGGGAACTCCAGCTCTTCAGTGGTATTATTTCTACCTGACCCCCTCTCTGGGACTTTGCGTCGTTGGGTGATGCTCACAGGTGACGTTGAGCACCGGTGAGGCTCAGCTTCATCATGCACTCCTCTTGCCTGCCCTCGGCCGGCTCCAGCACTCTCTGACACCCGCATGAGCAGGTTCAGCTCATTGCCAAGCCCAGCGTGGGGAGTTTTCTGCTGGATGAGTGAGATGGATTTTATTGCAGAAGGGCAAGACAAGTGCAAGTGAAGGAGGAGGAACCTGTGGCTGGAGGGAGGAGAGGACAGGGGTTGAATCTAACTTGCCTTTCCAGTGATGCCAAGTCCTGAATGGCACCTAAACTTTAAGTCCATAAGCACTTGCTGTTGCTGGCATAAAGTCTGTATTAGTCAGGATTTCATCCTTTGGTGCAACTTGTTTAGTGTAAGTGTTTGCAGTGTGTTGGCAAACTCCCTGTAACACCCTGTGGACAAAGCCTAGCAAATTGAGCTAGTCAGCATAGCTGCCCTATGTTTTTGTGTCCAGCAGCATAATTTCAGGATTCAGTAAAGCTGAGCAAAGTCAGCATTGCTGCTAAAATGGGATATTCTTATCAGTGGGCTCCTGCTGGCACTAGTGGTGTTGCTGTTTGGGCTGTGTCGAGGAGCAGATCTGACCAGAAGCCAGCCTGTGACAGAAAAGTAGTTTCTAGCTAGCAAGCTCCTTGATTTTTTAATATTTCTTTTTTTTTTCCCCTTAACATTTGCAAGTCTTCATGGACTGCGGTGTCAGCACAGCAGCAGTGCAGGACACTTCCATCTTCGCAGGTCAGGAACAGTCTGCGCTTGGTGCTGTGAAATGATAGAGACAAGGCTCAGGTGGCTTTTGTTATTTTTGGCCATATTGTGTATTTCCCTTGGCAGATATGTAGCTGAAGAAGTGAGGATTGTTTGGGGGAGCTCAGAAGTTTTTTGGAGCCAGTTTGATTGTGCTGCATGTCTTTTTGTCTTTAAGACATGTGCTAGCTGAAGTTAATTAGCTCAAGTTACGAGTGTAAGAGCAGAAGAGGGGTGCTATTCCCTGCCTTCCTGAGGACAGCCGGGCTGTCCACACTGCTGGGAGCAACCCAAAAGATGCTGTGGTGGGAAGCTTGGTTTCCAGTGTTGCAAGAACTCCTGGCAGTACTGGTGGGTGCATGGGGGTCCGGGCAAAGAGCAGGTCATCTGTGACACTGGGAAGCGATGGGGGCCTGAGCGTTGTCCTAATGAGGAAAGCCATCGTTAGAAAGACTTTTTGAGTAGGCAGGTTGCCTTTGTTAATCATGCATCTTGAGCTGATACCCAGAACTCAAGTACATGTGAAAATGCTGTTATTGAATAGTCTTTTTGGAAACTAAGCCAATGCCAATCTGTAAGCAACCAGGGTAGCAGGGCAGGGCTTGAGAGGGGGGAAGCACACTGTGTTGGACTCCCACATTCAACGGTACTTCGGGCAGAAGAGGGGTTGGTTTTCCTTTCACTGCCAGCAGATACTGCTGTACAACTTTCAAAATTTTCTCAGTATCCCGATGGCACGCCATTGTCCTTGCTAAGCACAATAAAGCATCGGTTCTTGGGCTCCTTGGTGCTGAGTGGAGGGAACCCTGGGTGCTGCGAGGAGCCTGGACCTGCTGCTGAAGCCCTGGTCACTGCTGCCCGGTGGCATCTGCATCTTGGTATGGGCATGAGGAGCCTTACGGTTTGCTGTGGGATCATCCACCTTCTCTTTCTGCAGCGAATTAACTTCTGTCGGAGCGCAAAGATTTGTCATTTTGCTTACATTCTACTTATTTTCTTTCTCTTGTAGGATCGTGTTTCTTCTCAACCTTCAATTCAATTTAAAGGATCCCAAGGGGTGAGTATTTTGTACTCTTGTTATATTGCAAAATAAATGGAGTGTAGATTAACCACTTTCACTTATTTAAAAAAAAAAAATCCTACAGACATTGTTAAGATCTGCTTAATACCAGATATGTTTCATTGTGTATTTACTTGAAAGTTGTAGCTGAAAGTGGAAGAGAATCATGCTTTAGGTATGCTTCTTTTTTATCTTATTTTTGTCACTTTTTAGCCTAAATTTGAAAGCCATGGAAATAAGTTGTAAGTCATCAACTGAGCAGTGCAAATTTAATATTTTTTAAATAGATGTTAAACAGTTGGTTTCAAGGTGCGAAGCAGAACTGCAGTTTTGAGGGGTGGGGTTTTGCATACCACAGACTACTGATGGTTCTTGACCCTTTTCTGAAACTAATAAAACAGAGTATTTCAAGCTTCTTGGAAGAGTTGAAGGAAAATATGAGGAAATGTGGCCTCCTAATGGCCACAGGTCCTGTTAAACAATCAGTCAGTGGGGCAAATTGGAGAACTAAAGATGAAGGTAACATTAAAATACAGGCTATGATCTCTAAGTAGAATGATTTAAGGTTTTAGGTTTAATATTTAAACTTTAAGGGATGGCTAAAGTCTCATTTTTAAAGACTGACGTATGGATTGTGCTTTTTATGCTGTTAAACTTAATTCAGATCCATTAACTGATCCAGTTTTCATGTAGCTGTGTGGCGCTGGTGTATAAATAGCCGGGAAGGGGCAAGAGAAGGATGAGTAAGGTCTTTATGCTGGTGTGAAGAGGTACTCCCGCCCACAGCTGTGAAACTAGAGTCCTGGTCCAGCATCAGTTTGGCTGAAGGGTGCTCGGATGCTGGGAGAATCATATCTATAACTAAGCTACTTGTGCAGACAAAAGTCTCTTAACTGCACTTGTAAGAAAATCCTTTATCATTATAGCTTATTCGCAATTTAAACCATACTGGCAAATATTTAAACTACACTGGTGAAAGAGTTTCCGTACTCAAATGAATAACCATCTTAGTTGAGAGTCAGCCAAAATAGCTGTACCAGGAGAGAGTGGCTGGGAGCACAGATCAAATTAAATTTGTGCTGCCATCAAGAGGGAAGTTGCACTTGCTAATCTGGCTGGGAAGTAATCCAGTAAAACAGACTGGCCAGCCCCACTGATTAGCTTCCTGGCCTGCCGGCTGTGGCAGCAGGCACATGAGTGCTGCAAGGAATGGAGCAGGAGCCGAGTTCAAAATAAGCTCTCAGAGTATAAATAATTAACCTAGCTGTTAATCTGAAGTTCTGCAAGTAGTATGCTGTGAAAGAAAAATTACCAGGATGCTTTATTTACCCTGCACCCTCTCTTTCTCTGCAAAAGTTCATGTGCTGCTTTCTCCCATGCTCTCTAGTAGCAGTTTTAAAGCAGTAGTATGTGAGGTTTGAGATGTTACTAAGCTGGGAGAGACTTTGTTTCTCAGCTGTAAAAAGTCTTGGGGTTCTACCAAAAGCTGTCAAAATCTGGGGGTCACAAGACTGCTGAAGAGCCAAATGTTAACTTACAATGCTATCACCCTTGTTTCTATTAAAAAGTTAATCCAGGTATGTAGTTTTTGATTATGAAACTCAACAGTAAGGTCTGCTTCCATGCTCTATGGGGTGGAAACATCTGCAGGGACTTGGCTGCTTGCTGCAGAAGCAATAATCTCTTATGGTACTTTTCAGATCTGTCCATAATTAAGGAAATGCAAACTAAGGAATTTATTGCAGGAGATTCCTAGATTCTAAGTCTTTGCAATAGGGAGAGAAATTTAAGGTAATTAAGGCAGGTGGTAACTTAAAACAGGACATTTACTACTTTATATACAGTGGGAGAGAAATGGTTAGCTTGTTATTTGTGTATATTGTGCAGCCATGTTCTGAGTATTTCCAGAGTACACAAATTGCATGGCAGAGGACTGACCTGGCCCTTTGAAAAGCCTGCCTTCCTCTTCTGGACTGGTTTCCCGTAGGAGGTCTCCGGAGTGAAGAGTGTTCAAGGTGTATTTGTCAGTGCCAAGGCGTTGCAGGTTACCTATGACAGCAAGATGTTTCCTTAAATGCTGCTGAAAGCAAATAGTAATTTTCTTTGTCTCCTGAGAGTACTTCCTCTGCAATTCAGGCAACTCTCTAACTCCCAGCTGAGGATAAAATACTAGCATTACAAAAAAAAAAGCTTTTGTTTGTTTGTTTGTTTGTTTTAAATATGCCATCTCTAGTTGCACACATTCTTGTCCCAGGCCTATGTGGCTGATGGGAAGGGCTGGAGTGCAGAAATAAAAGGAGCTTTCTGGCTTCGGGTGGTCTAGAGTTGCATTAGATGTGGGAACTGAGCAAAGGAGCCTTACACTAGAAGAGGCAAGGGAGGAGCTTTTATTTCATGTATATGTTTAACAAGAGGCTAAGATTGGTGTTAGAGGGGTTCTGCAGTCACTTTGCCAAAAAAGAAAAGCAAGCTTCATTTTCTTCTCTTGTACAGTAGGGTTGCTCTGAAGGGATCTGAAAAGTGTTGGAAGTACATAGATGGTGTCAGAAGGCACAATAGCAAATCCAGTGGTGCCGTAAGATGGTTTGCATTCAGTGTGATAATAAATCATCTCTGTGTGCTGCATAGTTAGCCTCTAGATGCTGCTCTTCAGTACAAGAACCGCTGAAGCTGCACTGGAACAGTTTGCACAAAACACAGCTAAGAACTCTGAGATTTGTGAATTCATAAAATATCTGTGATTGTTAAAACAAACTTTTGCACCAGAGCACAAGTCAGCCCCTGGGAGGGAGAACTTTTCCTCCTGGAACAACTTACTCCCAAACACTCTGGATGATAACGTCTGCTGGTGGCTGAGAGAGCTGGAGGACACTGAAGGACTGCAAGAAGTGGATCATTACAGTGATTCAGATTAATTTTTAAGAAATAGCTTGTAATTAAACACCTAGGCAGCCTGGAGAATGTAGCAGCTGTGCTGTGCTAGATACAATAGCCCTGAGGCAGGTGAATATTGGCAATTAACTTGTAACACAGTAGGGATACCTTTAAAAAAAAAAAAGTCCAATTATAGTCCAATGTACTTCTGTAGAGGTAATTTTTCAAACAACCCTGCTTTCTCTGCTATGGCTTCCCTCCTGTATTTTTAACTTTCTCTGCTGTGTCCTGCAACTTGCAAATACATTTCTTATACAGAGACAAATTTGCAAAGTGTGCACCGTACCCACAGCTGGCGACCTCGATCTCCTGCTGCGACGCACGTGCCTCCAGCTGCTGTGGGGCAGCCGCTGCGAGCTCACCTTCGTCCAGTGAGCGTACAAAACCAGTCGCCCGCTTGGGGGAATTCAGCAGTATGCTGAATCTTTGGGCTCCAGTTTAGGGACAGTTGTTGCCTGCCTTGTTTTCTGTCCCTCTGCAAACCTTTGGTCCTTGCGCTGGAGGAAGGTGCAGCAGTGTGGGTGTCAGGGACAGCAGTCGCAGCCCCCAGCTGAGGAGCTTTTCTGCAGCAGGTTGGTGACAAATTCCTGCTGGGTGGCAATGAAACCAGCACGGTGCCCAACACTCAGGTTCACACGGGTGAGCTGGTGCGTGAAGGTGAGCTGCATGGATTTGTGGGAGCAGATATTAAGTTCTTAGAAAAACTGCTTATTAAGCAGACTTTGTTCTTAGAAAAAAGGCCAGAGAGAAAGAAGGAAGGAGGGGCGAGAAGACTGAAACTAAAAGAAAGTCTTCTCCCTTAAGATTACCCATTTGTCTACATGTCAACATAATCAGTAAAATGTATGTATTTGAAATGGTTTTTGTGTAGTAAAATATTTAATATTTTTTGCAAGGCAGCCACATGTAGTCACATGATTTCTGTAGAAAGGCATCTTAATTTCCTTCTTGAAAGGGACATTGGGCACATTCTGTAGTATAGGTCTAATGAAGGAGGAGGAGGAGGAGGTTTAGTCCTTGAAGGAAGCAGCATTTTGCAAAAAGAATTCTAGTATTAAAATGAAAACAAATCAGTGCTGAGATTTTTCTCACATTTAAGAGCAGTTTTTTGAAGTTTCAAATTGGTCAAGTAGGTTTCTGGAGTACTTTTGTCTCCTTGAAGGTGCAGGCTGGACATCTACATTAACACAGACAAAGAAACAAAGTTTTAAGCTTGGGAGCAAGCTCACCTGGGCAGAAGCCACTGTAGCAAAGATCCAAATCATACTATGGCAAAAATTGTCCCTCTTGGGATTTGTAAATGTGGAAGTTACATGAAACATGGCAGAGTGTCCCTGCTAAGCAAAGCAGTGCCTTTCCTCAGTAGCAGGGGTTTGCCTCTTGGCAAATAAAGTGTTGCTCTAAAGAAACTGTGAGTAAGCTCCAGAAAATGGATTAATTGGAAATGTCTCTCAAAAAAAAATAGTAAGAGCTTAGCTTGGAGGGCCCTGCAACTGTTAATTTTTAAATCCTTTAATCCTGTTGTAGACACTTGTGGTGTGAGCTGGGCAGTGGTGTGGATGCCTGCATGGGGCAGGAAGCAGATTCCAGCTCAAGCTTGTGAGCTACCAACTCTTAGCCTTAAAAGTAAGTCTTTGAGGGAAAACTACTGGTGAGATGGTAGGGTTGGAACGATTCTGAGAAGAGACAAAGGAGAGAGAGGACTTGAATGCATCTGCTGAGCGGAAGCACCTAAAAATACAGTGCTCATGTCAACCTGATGACGTGATGCTGTTACTGTGGAAGAACAAGAGGAGAGTGGGTAGAAGTGTTCAGAAAGAGAAGAGATTAAGTGACTCAGGCTCAGAGAGCAAAATACATCTGGCCTGATTTGAGGGTACAATAACAGCACACGGTATCAGCGTGAATGATGGAAAGGAGGAGGATGGAAGCGACAAAAAGCTATGAGCCAGAGAAATTTGAGTGAGTCCACACAGGAACTTCAGAAGAAAATTACGAAAACTGTTCTTACGTTACAGAGCCAATGAGGATATGTCAGAAAGAGAGGGTAATGATAGATCCAG